TGGCATGATCTTGACTCAGTGCAACCTCCACCTCCTGGGTTCAAGCGATTCTCCTTCCTCAGCCTCCGAAGTAGCTGGGATTACAGGCACGCGCCACCACACCCAGCTAATTTTTGTATTTTTAGTAAAATCGGGGCTTCACCACGTTGGCCAGGCTAGTCTCAAATTCCTGACCTCAATTGATCCACCTGCCTCGGCCTCCCAAAGTGCTGAGATTACAGGTGTGAGCCACTGCACCCCACCTAAACTCAAATCTTAAGTGGAATATTCAATCCTTTCCTGTCTTATTTTATACTCTTATGATTTCCCTTTATTTTTGTTAATTTTTGTTTTTTGAGACAGTCTTACTCTGTTGCCCAGGCAAGAGGGCAGTGATACTATCATGCTTACTGCAGCCTCTACTTCCTAGGCTTAGGTGATCGTCCCACCTCAGCCTCCCAAAGTGTTGGCATGATTTCCCTTTGAACAGTTTTATTTAGAATGTGTCCCTCCATGTAATTTTTTTTCAAAAACTTTTAAACTTGAAATTTAGTCAAAGTACTAAGAAAAGTTTTACAGCCAATTTCAATAAATCATTGTATCATATTCATAAGAAATGCTATAGAATTTGTTATGGGAAGAACTAGCATGTATGCATTATCTCCAGTGGAATTTATAATTCTACAACTTTTATTTATTCAGGCCAATTCCAGCAGTTTAAAAGGTTTCCTTTCAGCTGTGAGACTGGCTCATAGAGGCTGTAAGGTTGATATACCAGTTTCAACACTCACACCAGTGAAGACTTCAGAATTTGAAAACTTTAAAACTAAAATGGTTATCACATCCAAAAAAGACTATCCTCTAAGTAAGAACTTTCCATATTCCTTGGAACATCTTCAGACTTCTTACTGTGGGCTTGTTCGAGTTGATATGCGTATGCTTTGCTTAAAAAACCTTAGGAAATTAGACTTGAGTCACAACCATATAAAAAAGCTTCCAGCTACAATTGGAGACCTCATACACCTTCAAGAACTTAACCTGAATGACAATCACTTGGAGTCATTTAGTGTAGCTTTGTGTCAGTCTACACTCCAGAAGTCACTTCGGACTTTGGACCTCAGCAAGAACAAAATCAAGGCACTCCCTGTGCAGTTTTGCCAGCTCCAGGAGCTTACAAATTTAAAACTTGACGATAATGAATTGATTCAATTTCCTTGCAAGATAGGACAACTAGTAAACCTTCGCTTTTTGTCAGCAGCTCGAAATAAGCTTCCATTTTTGCCTAGTGAATTTAGAAATTTATCCCTTGAATACTTGGATCTTTTTGGAAATACTTTTGAACAACCAAAAATCCTTCCAGTAATAAAGCTGCAAGCACCATTAACTTTATTGGAATCTTCTGCACGAACCATATTATATAATAGGTAAGATTTTAATAGTCATATAATGTGGTGTCTTTGATAGCATTCTAATATTCTCATCAAACTCAGAGTAATAAAGTCTAACATTGCTTACAATACTATGCACAGTCTAACCCTTTGCTGTAATAGTCTTCTTGCTGTTCCTTACCTCTACTTAGAATGATTTTTCTCCAGGAAGTCTCGTAGCTCACTCCCTCACTTCATTCCGTTCTCTGCCCAAGTGTCATCCCAGAAAGGTCTTACCTGTCCATTCTATCTAAATTTTATTTCTTACCTCCTTACATTGCTTG